TATATATATATCTTTATATAGAATTTATGAATCGAATACTTTTGACTCAATTCACGAATATTGATTACTCTGCCTCGTAAGGCAAAGGTCTAGTATTGGCCCTGCTAATTGTTTTCGCTTCTTTTTAGCTCAATTGTTTACTAAAATCACAGCTCTCCATGTAAGTCGCGGCTTACATATATAATTGGTTGTAGTCCACGAGCTCCTCCACCCTGCAATATATAATATTTCGCAGTTCTCTTGGTAATATATAGAAAACATACCACCAAATACTATTTTTTATTGCATTTTATTGAAATTTCGAGTTTTGATAATCAACGGTAATTTTTTTTTTACAAGATGGGTATGCATTTTCTTGAGGACCACAATAGATATTTGATCCATGAACTGCGAATAACCGAAATCGGTGATTGTTGACTTCCAAAGGGGAATGTGTTGACAATCACATAGTCGCTTTGGTATAGATATACTAAGCCTAGTTAAGTGCCACTGCCTGGTATAAATTCGCTCGGTATGCCCTTTATCAATACTTTTTTAAGGTTCAGTACCACTGCCCGGTATACATTTGCCCAGTAAGCTCTACATCAATGTCTTTGAAGGTCAAGTGAACAGAATGCATTTAACCGGTACTCCGAACACTGATGTTTCTCCTAATCTATTCTCATCAGATATGAAAACACCGAATAAATATAATAGTATCAACGAATAAATTAATATCTAATCGGATATAACAAATATTTCGGACATTCACCAAAGCGACTAAGTGATTGTTGACATTCACCACCAGTAAAAGTCGGCATGCTCTTGATTTTGGTCATGCACGGTAACATATACACATCAAAGGTGCTTAACTGGTTAAATAAAGGGAGGCGCAACCACTCCTACCAAAATAGGAGAGTTAGTGCAGCTGCTGCTTATGAACAGATGAGGTATTGTTCATATGTTAAGAGAGATTATGCAGTGTTTAGACAAACTTATTAGAGGTTTACAAAAGTATAACACTTAATAAATAAAAAAAACAAACAAACAATAAAACAATCTATTCCGATAACAGCTAGCTCTCCTTTCTTTTTCTCCAATTGACATTCTTTTTATTTTATTTGGTTATCTCTTAAACATTAAGTTAAAACATTCTTTACTTAAACCATTCAAATATTATAATATTTGTTTACAAAAGTTTCGCAGCATTTAAATTGATAAAATTTTAATTTTCAGCTATTATTACTAATAACACTGGGGGGGGGGAGGGCAATTTTTTTTCTTCTGCTGCAGCAAATTTTTTAACAGATCTTAGATACGTTTGAATCACTGATTTCAAATCTGTAATCAATCTCTTTCTACTACAGTTATTATGCAATTTATTGGTGTAGTAGTCCAAACGAGGATTTTCTTAAGTCTCAATTTCTTGGGTAAGTAGGGAAAGGTAGGAGGAAAGCGATAAAACATTTCAGTTTATGATGCGATAACTTAAGCTTTAACATATATGATTTTTGTCTTTAGGGCAGCGTTTCTCAACCTTTCAGTATTCGCTGTCCAGTTTTCAATCATAATTTTCATCGCGCCCCCCACTTGCAGTAAAATGTATGCAACAATAATGTATATTGAGTATTTTTAATTCCGTCTTTAAATTATTTTTAACTAACTACCAAAACAAACGTAAAGTAAAAATGAGCAGCAATTGAGATTGTAGAAACTATGTTTGGAGTTAATTTTTCAAAACAATTACAGTCCATACCTCTTTCAAATGATACTGTTGCTCGTCGAATTGGTGATACAGCTGAAACTGTTGTGTCAGCTTTTCTCGATGTTGCGTGACAAAATGTTTTCATTAAACTTTGAAACAAGAGATATTAATAAAGATGCTCATTTCATTGCCTATGTTTGATTTTGTGATAATATGTCAGTAGTAGAACTACTTTTCTGCAAATCAGTAGAACTCAAAACAACAGCGCTAGCATTATTTGCTATTTTAAATGATTCATAACATTTTAAATGATGTTATGAAGCACAGAATGCAAAAATTGCATCGGAATATGCACTGGAATATGCATCGGAATATGCTTGTTCAATATCCGGAAGGTTCGAAAGTATACAAACACTAGTAAAACAAAAATCGCCTCAATGCGTCTGGACACATTGCATGATCCACAGAGAAGCTTTGGGTTCGAAAGAAATAGGTCCTGGATTAAATATTGTATTAACTGCGGTTGTAACCATTTTAAATTATATAAAAATGAGAACCTTTTTGAGAAGGGTGATCGAGAATCTTTTCTGCTCTTTGTAATGACATGGGTTCAGTACATTCGGAGTTACTATTTAAATGTGAGGCAAGATGTTTATCACGTGAGAAATTTTTGCAACGTGCTCATGAATTAAGAGAAGAAATCGTCATTTTCTTAGAAGATAACAGACCGGAAACCGGGAATTTACACTATTGTTTATTTGTGATGAAATTGAGATACTTGGTCGTCATATTCGAGAAATTAAATAACTTGAATCTTAAACTCCAAGGAGCAAATACACATATGTTGGATACGAGTGATGAAGTTAATGCTTTTTGTAGAAAATTAGAATTGTGGGGCAGAAATTTAAAGCAAAAAAACCTAACAATGTTTGCAAATGTGGATAATTGTACTAAAACTTATAAGGCTGAAGAAGAATATATGAAAGTTACGTTTGTAACCATTGAAAATCATTTAGCCATGCTGGCAAAGAATTTTAAAAAGTATTTTCCTGCTCATGACAAACTGCTAGCAAGTTACGAGTGGGTTAGGAATCCATTTCATAAGACTCCCGAAGGACTCTCNTTCCTGAAATATTTAACAGATTTGTAACATATCAGCAAAAATAGTTAGATCTAAAAAAATTTAATATTTTGTGTTCATGTAAAACATTTCTTAGTAGGTTATATAATGGAAAATTTTATGTTTAAAAGATATGATTGATACAAAAACTTCTTATGAAAATTGATTTCAATAAATCTTTTTCTAGACTAAATTTGTGTGTTTAAATTCAGTTTGATACATCTTTATTCGAAATTAACTTTTAACATTCTTTTGTTTTTAGTTTATTTATTAAGCTTATTACCAAAACTGGATTTTATACTTTTGAAAAATATTTAAATTAATGTGTAAATTAAAAATTTGATATTATTTAATAGTTTTATTTTATGGAAAATTATAGTAATTATTCACTACACATGGAAAGGAAATAAAATATCTAAAAAAAGGAAGAAAAACAAAGCTTTTGACTAATATATGTATATATGTAACAAGAAAAGCTTCAACTAATCTTTTTATATTATTCCTTTATCTAAATCTTTTTCTTAATTTATTATTCTAAACTAAACGCTCTTTCTCACACTTTAATATTTACATTCTGCCTTTTAATCTATTTTTGGCTTCAAGTTATACATTAATTAACATTTTTAATTTCCCCCTTTCATGGAATAGTGAGAAAGACTTTTTCCCTCAAACTATTTAATAGACCAATTATAACTATTAAGATTCCCCTTATTCCCTAAAACGAAACATTTTATGGATCTATTTTGCAAGATATTCCCTAACTTTTATTCAGAAGCACTTCGACTTTGTGTCACTTGGATGTTACTCTTCCTGAATATGTCTTAAATAATAATTAGGTATAGCCTGGTGCCTGAAACCTGCTTATTTCCTCCTCTCGGTGACGACCTGATTTATATACATTCTATAAAACTTGTATATTTAGACAAAAACAAAATAAACTAAAACCATTATTTTGGAGAACAAAAATCTGTAGCTTATGGAAAAAAACTAATTTAAGATTTGAAATCTTCACAACCAAATCAGGTAAGATTAAGTACTTGCATAAATGCACTACTTTACCTATGTCCAGGTAAGTTCGGATCGATAGAATTGAGCGTTGGAAGTTAATAACTTCTTTCTAGCTTTAAAATAAACAATTTTGAAATCATCCACTAGGAGTTTAGTATTTATATAAGAATGTTGTTTTAATTAGAGCGCTATTGAAATACGAAATTAGCTTTTAACTTCTTAAGCTAATTTTTACAGTTCAAAATTTTTCATGGTTAAAAAATACATCATTTCTGAAAGTTTCAAGCATGATCTTTCAAATTATGTCATCAATTTTGCCATATAAATAGTTTTAAAGAATTTGCGGGTAAAAAAAAATATTAGAGATAGTATAGAAGTAGCGATAGTGTAGAAGTGCTAGAGATAGTGTAGAAGTGTTTCCATTATTTTGATCAACCCCTGTATTAATGAAATCGACTTGCATGCTTACTTCGTTAGAGGTGGATAATTTAAGTACATATTATCCTTTCAAATATGAAATTTTATTTGTTTAAGGTTTCGAAAAATGATTCATCAAATTATTCAAGAAAAGTTTTTAAGAATTAGTATAAAGAAAGCATTTTAAAATTATCAGAAATTTAAAATAAATTTTTAAATTTCTGAATAAAAATATTTTTTTGAAATCTAGGGTCCCCACAATGTTTTACAAATAAAAGAATTTTTTTCTATTAGCATCAAAAGCATAGGGAGTTTTCATGGTATCAAACATTTCGTGTTATCGAAGTTCGTGATATAGAGACTTGACTGTAAATTAAAGAATTGATTATCATAAACATTTATTATCTTTTTTTTGTACTTGACAATAGTAGTTATATTTAATGGCCGAAACAAATTGACTTTAAAATACCAAAAAAATGACATCTACAACGAAAATAAAATATTTTTAAGTAAACATCCCACAAATTATTCATTTATTAAAAAATACAGTATTTTTCAATCATGTTCGATGCATTTCGCAAAACTTTGGTAAGCCAATGTAATGTGATATATCAATATATTTGAAATACAAATGGGATTTTTGAATTGTGTGAAAACATACTGAATAACAAACAAAACAATGGATTACAATAAATACAACTTAATACAAATAAACAAAATACAAGCTTATTACAAAACGCATCATTTAAGTTTATCGAGAAAAACAAATAAAATAGTAAAGCCTAGAACAAAATATAGTTTAAATGTAATGCTTAATGATACAATAAAGTTAATAACATTACCGTTAATATAATTACCGTGTCTCCAAAAAATAACCCAGGATTTGAATGACCCATGACAATCAAAAAAGTTTGAAAAAGTTAGAAAAGAACGATTTGCTGCATTCCTCTTAAAAAACTAGAAATTTCCTTCCCAAATTTTAATATTCGTTGCAGAATTCGTTAACAGATAGTGCTGCTGACTGAGAAGATCTGTAAAATAATTTTTTTTTAAAGTAATCACCATTTGTAGCAAAAACTTGGCGTTGTCTGAGGACAAAATTAACAAACGTCTGGCAAATACCTTAGAATTTTCCGATAGAGTTAGCGAAAAGATGGCGCTGCTGACTGAGAAGAACTATAAAACAATGTTTTTAAAATAACTACCATTCACAGTAACGACATGGCGTTGTTGGAGAAATAAAGCAATAGATCCCGATTAATATTTGAGTTTGAATGGTTTGACAGAGTTCATGAACATTTGGCGTTGTTGACGGTGAAGAACTATAAAATAATAATTATAATTTACAGTAAAAACTTAGTGTAATCTGTGTACAAACAAACAGACACTCGTGCTAATACTATAGTTGGAATGTGGAACAGGCATTATAATGCCATCTATGGGTGAAATTTGACAATGATTATGAAACTTGATGAAAATAAATAATCTGGTTTCATTGGCAGAATGCAGCAAACTGTTCATATATATATCCCTTTCAGTTCTTTTTAAAATTGATTTTTCAATTCGTGGGTCGTTTTCGGGACTTCCGGTTTGAGTTCAAAAATTATTAATGTAAAATGGCAATGAATGGCGAATTCACACTTGTACTCCAAAACTTTTAATTCTTCGTTCCCATTCTTCAATCAAGGCACTTTTTCTTCTTGTACTACTCGTGGCTGTTTCCTAAAATAAATATATATAATTATATATATTGAAAAAGTGCTTGGAGAACAATCAACTGACATGAATCAGTTACAATTGAAAGCAGCGTAGGTCACATTTCTGGGGTGTTTAGACGTGGAAAAAGTCAAAAATTGGTTGGTAAGGTTTCTCACGGCTATTAAAATTTGCTTAAATTTCGGTACCATTTGAGTACCACAAGAATATTCCGGAGTTTCTTACATCTATATATACAGTAAAAGTCCATCTAAAGGTAATTCAATGCAAAAAATAAATTGTAGTAAATATTTACTATTTTTTATATTATTTTATTTAATAACAGTCATAAAGCTTTTGAATTGTAAGGTATATAAATCTTTACATAATTTTAAAGTATTGACTTAACATGGCAAAATACAAAATTTGAGAGAAATTGGTTAGATAGTTCCTGAGAAATCAAATTTTCAACTTACGACTTTTTTGAAATTCGATTTCTCAGAAACTATTCAACCGATTTCGCTCAAAGTTTGTATTTTTCCATGTGAAACTAGATACTTTAAAATGATTTTAAAAAAAATCGCACACCTTGCAATTCAAAATTTTTTCGACTTTTGCTAAATAAAATCATAAAAAATAATAAATATTTACTAAAACTTACTTTTTGCGTGCATTTATTTTTGGATAAACAAATTATATAATTGCCTGAAAGTTTTTTTCAATTCGTCTTAAAAGTTCTCGAGATATGGCGAAATACATAAAAAATAAAATTGAAATTAGGAGGTTCAAACTTTGGATCACTCTCTTGACCATATTTCCCAGATTGCGGCCACCATCTTAATTTTGGAGGTCAAAAACCCGGTATTCAAACGAAAAAAAAAAGTGTGTTCATTCAGAAAAAGTATGTTTTTGTGTCTTTATTTGTAACTTAAAATATCGTCTGCACCAATTAATTAGAATATTTGAGATCACCCCCTGAAACCATTAAGAGGGAGCCCTAGAACTTGAAGACCCGATCATTAGATCAAAAGTTATTCAGGGTAGTAATTTTTTTATTTTGCACACTGAACATTAACGTTTGTGAAAATATCATAGCTATGAAGGAACCGCTAGAAACTAATGAAATTAATTCAACATATTACTGATAGTATTACTAATAAACATGCGCACTTGAAAATTAAATAAACTGTTGGCTAAAACAATTAACGTGATTCCACTCCCGAAATTAATTTTTTTTTTCCATGCCATGCTACGCTTTTGCAGTAAGGCAAATGTATGTATATCTATATATCTATAAATATATATTAAAAATATAGAGTTACAGCACTCTAATAATGAAGGACACAATTCTTGGTTTGAATTTTGTTATTTATTAAGTTTGCATTTGAGAATCATTCGCCTCTTATGTCACTAAACTGCTATGCATACATGTAATTAAGCTATTAAGTTACCTGATTATTTTCAGTTCTTTATACTTTAATTTCGTTATTAAGTATGTATTAGTGACTTGTACTTATGACCAAGTTCTTAACATGCAAGGTTATTTCCTTTTCTTTAGGTTTTAGATTTCGTTACTTATTATGCATTTGAGGCTCTTACTTGGACAATGACATATGCACCACTAAGTTTTCAAAATTAATTTTCTTCATAGGTTTGGATTTTGCTATTTATTAAGTATGCATTTGAGACTCCTAACTTGCCAGAGACATATACGCCACTAAGTTTACAAAATTAGTTCATTTTTTTACAGGAATAGATTTCGTTATTTCATATTATTTATTTATTTATTTTTGTAGTTCTGGATATTGTTAGTAAGTATGTATTTGAAATTCTTTCTATAAAGATCCCAATTATTAATCTTGGATTATTATTTCTTAACATAGAAAATTATTAATTCTCAAATATTATGCTTGGCTCTTTGATTCTTAAGTTTGAATTTTGTTACCAGATATGCATTTTAGACTTTTTTTTAATTAATATGCGTGCTTTGATTGGTAGGTACTTCATTTACGTTGCACTAGAGCTGCACAATAGGCTATTGGTGATGGTTTGGGAAGCATTCCTGAGGATGATCCGAAGACATGCCATCGCAATTTTGATCCTCTGAAGAGGGGATGGCTCCCCTTTTTTGGTAGCCCGACAACCACCTCGAAATCTAGCACTTTACGGTAGAACAGTTTACGAGGACCAATACCTCGCACCCTCGGTCCCTACGCAGGCTGATCAAAGTGGTCACTCACCCGCTTACTGACCGCAGCCAGTAATGCTTGACTTCGGTGTTCTACTGGGAACTGTGTCCTTACGATCGGTTCAGTACTGGACTTGCTTTGCAATCCAATTTTAAAAAACATGAATTAATAGATGTTACATGAATCTAAAGTAAAACGTAATAAATTTTATTGTTCACTTATTTGGCAGTTATAAGTGTTAGTGTTTGTAAATATCAGCTGATGGAATCAATATTATACCTGCTTATTAAGTATAATTTGGTCCTAAGGAGAGAAAGAATAATTAAAGAACTAATCTACCTCTTTTTCATTTTCGGGAGAAATTTTTCCCTCCTCTGAAATATCTGAACTTGAACATATATCCTTCGATGTTTCTGACGAGGAGTCACAATTCGCTCCATTTAATAGTTGAGCTCTTTCTTTTCTGAAAAACATAATGGATTTTTTAGTATACTTAACCCATTTGAACGGCTTTTTTTTTAAATTTTTTTTTATTTTTTTTTAAAGGGAAAAAAATTGCAAGATTATTGAGATTTTTTTTTTCTTCCTTTCGCATACACAAGATATTTCTGTCTGGATACTATAATATATTAATGATATTAAGAGCTTAAATTTGGACGTTTTTCTTGACTATTTAAAGTGGAGATTAAGAGTTGTAATGTATGCAATTTTTTTTACACAATTTTAAAGAATATAATTTTACATGGCAAAGTACAAAATTTGAACGAAATCGGTTGAAAAGTTCTTGAGAGATTGAATTTCCAAAAAGTCATGTATTAAAATTTGATTTCTCAGGAACTATTCGACCGATTTTGCTCAAAGTTTCGATCAAATTTGAGGTCAGCCTCTCGAGCAATTAAGATTGAGTCCTAGAACGTAAGGATCTGATCATTAGATCAAAAGTTATTCAGGGTGATCCTTTATTTTTTTAGTACATTTTTGAGTTAGTAGTTGAAAGATTTCTTATAATAATTGATATCAAAACTCTTTTTATCGAGAATTTTATTTCTTGAATGTTTAAAGTAATAGCAAATATTACTTTTTGCTATTTCTTTTTAATATAATAAAATTGATTTGCAATGATTTGGTTATATCGATGCACAAACAATTAAAACAAATATACAAGTATACAAGCATTGTAAGTTGAAATTTCTGTCTCGATAACTATGTAAATATTGTCTCAATGTCCTTAGAAAACTTCAATAGGGCCAGCAAAATAAGTCAAAGTACGATCTTTTAATAAATTTATGACCCCCACTCTATGCATCAGATTGTAAAGTCTATGCATCATCTCTATGCACTTATGCAAAGAGAACATATTTGTATGAGAAATGGGCCTACCAGATTTTTAAAATTTAAAGTGGTATCTTTCATTAACGTAAATTTACTATCACTATAAGAAATCTGTAATTACTGACATGTTCACAGTAGTGCTACACCTATGTGCACACATTAACACCGTGGTAAGTTCCTTTAAATTGATTATTGGTTAATTGAAAAAAACGATAAATCAAATGTGATTAGTAAAATGTTTAATAAACCTATTTATTCATAACATGACATCTCTTATTGTTAGAAACGATGAATAAAAATAATTTAAAGTTGCAGTTAAAGTTAAAAACTAAATAAAAAAATTTGCACCATAAAATCCTTGTTTTTTAGTTTGCTAATTAACAATCTAGTATTTCGTTTTGTTACTACATTAAAAGTGTAACACTTTATTGCTATTCTGCCAAAATTTATATAAGATAATTAACTGATAAGTAACAAAAATATTCCCTTTGTCCACTCTTGTCCCATGTGTTTCTATGTATGTAATATATAGAGACACATATATAATTCACATATGGAGACAAATGTAGTATATATAGAAATGGAACCTTTTCTCTTATATGTAATACAACTTTCAAAATGACAGTAAAGTTATTAGATTGACTTATTTTTTTAAAAAATAGTCCATAGTCCCGAATTTTCTGTATCAGGAATTTTAATTGTCTCCTTTTGAGCTCGTAATATCGATGTTTGACTATATTTCCTTTAAAGGAGATATTTTCAAACATATAAATGAATTACAAATTTCACAACAAACTCACAGTTCTTTTATCATTTCATTGTAATTCATTCGAAAAAAAATTGTAAAGATAACTTTGAGCACATTGAGTGTCAACTTAGATATAAAAGTTGCATTTCAAAATCTGACCTAGGCCTATTTTTTTTTCAAGTTTGAATGAAAAAATATAAAGTTTTTAAAGAAACTGATACATAAAAGAATCAGTGTCTGTAAAACAATCTCTTTTGAAGAAAGAAGAGACTTTTGTTTATTGCTTTGCGTGAGTAATTACTATGAAATGCAGACATTGCCTAAGGATAACTGATGACCTTTTCTTTCTTCTCAATTAGAAGAGTGTTTGGAAATCAAATGAAGCGCGAGAAATTTCTACATTTTTCAACATGATAAAAAAGATGTGCAAAGGTGCTTTTCCAAGCTCTTTTGTCAAAGAAAATATAGTTTAAAAAAAAGTCACAGTTTAAGAGGACAATATACCGTGGGAGAAAAATTTCATGTCAAATTCTGTTATACTTCTATTGCTACTTTTTTAATTTAAAGTTAAGAGCAGTGGTTCACAATTTATTTTCGGAACCCTAAATGGTTCTTTTGACAGAGTCTCGGAATTATATATATATATATATGTGTGTGTAACATAAAAAGCTTCAATTAATCCTTTTATGTTAGTTTCTTTGTTATAAAACTTCATCCTAATTAACTATTCTAATCGAAATACTTTCTCACACTTTTAAAANCTATTCTAAATTCTTTCTCACACTTTTAAAAGCCACATCCTGTTCTTAAATCTATTTTTGGCTATGTATGCATTTAATTAAAAGCAGGACAGTTTTCCCTTTCCTCTCTGTGGGAAACGCTCTATCTATTTCATAAACCAATAGTAACTATTAAGATTTCCCTCTTTCCCTAAATTAAGACATTTTACGGATTTTACTTTGCAAGCTTTTCCCTAATATATAACCAAGGAGCGCAACTTTTCATGTTCACTTTTACACACTCTCACGACTGCTCTGTCCTAATAATTAATAAATAAATTTTGTACCCTCCTTCCCGACCTAAGACCTGTTTTAATCCTTCCACTCGGCAACAACGTTATATATATATATATTTCATGTTATATACAGAGTAATTTATGCCAGTGAGTACATTTTATTAGTTCTTTGCTAAAACATTTGTAACAATTATCTGTTCAATATAAAAATAAAATTTGAACTGCCTTTTGAAATTTATCTGGATGATTCTCATCATATCCATGTTTCTTAAAGGCATATCTAAAAAAATTTTAATAAAAACTAGTTAAACNCAATTGAAAAAAAGACTACTAATAATTTTGATAATATTTAATGCGAAGAATGAAATATATGAATTTCTGTACGCACATGCTGAAATTCAATATCATAAGCTGAATTACGCTTTTCATGAAAGAACTGTTACAAACGTTGACAATCGTTATCAATGTGTAACATAATTATTTATTCTTAAATCTGGTTATATTATTTTTAATTGAAAAGATCTATGAAATATACTAATTTAATTTTTTATCAATGCATATTTTTCATAATTTATTCAATAAATTTTTATTGAAAAGAAATAAATTTTTTTGCTTGATTTTTTCGTTGTCATTATACATTTACAATTTCATAAGAACAACTAAAATATTAAAATTACGAAGCATTAGTTGGATGTAACTATATGATCATTACTGGTTAAAATCAAAATCCTAATCCTAGGAACTGCTGTGATTTTACCACGTAATACAAATTGGGTATCACTGATTTAGAGAAATGATAGTTCAAGTAAAAGTTTCATGAAGTTTCAAATGCACAAAGTGATTTTTCAAAATATCAAAACGCAAACAAATAATTACAGAATTACTTCCCCACTATATGTTATTCTAAGTTCACCTATAATAATATGTCTGCATTTCAATATTTTGAAAAAGTTTTACAGCATTTGTAACTTCATACTTTACTCTAGCTTTGCCTGAACTCATTATTTGTGTACTTAAACATTAAAATTACTAACGTAAAGGAAGGCAAATTTGAGATAGAGGGTTTTTCCTGTGGTATAGTGTCCTCTTAACAGTTTAACCCTTTTAGAACATTAGAACGTAGCTCAAATCTCAGTGCGCTTGTGGGATTTTTGAGACATATAATGGGGTAATATGTGAAGTGGGAGTGGAATTGGGGGGAGAGGGGGTCCCAAGTACCAAATAGTAAGGTCATGAGTGGGAAACCAGTCGGTTGAACATATGATGCAATCAATTGAAAATTAAACATAATTGAGATTAAACTAAATTAGAATATAATAATATTTACAGGGGTCAGAATAAAATTAATATTTACACTGGTTTTATAAAATAGAAAATAATAGAGAAAATATATACTACTATTTACATATTTACACGAGATTGACAAAAATCTATCAAAGACAAAGGAAAAGTTATATAAGCGATAGATAGTCAGACAATTACCTTGTCTGCTACTGTGTTATAGTGATGACCAGGGCGTCCTGGTAATACTACTCGTTTCTGGGTAGCTCATCACTCTTAAGTTACCAATCATCGTTCCTACGGCTGCGGCCCATTTGGGATGATCGCATACCGCGGCGTCGATGAATCACCGTGTATTAAACTGGTGGCTCAGTTAACTCAACAAAATGATTCAAATTAATAAAATCATGTTTTAAATTAACAAAAATAAGTAAAAACGAATATACAATATCAAAATACTTATTAAAAACTACTATGCACTTAATTTCATCGCTTTGCATTTTTTAGAAAAATTTCTTAAAATTATAAATTTTTTTTTCTTATCTAATATAGAAGCGTTTATTTTCCGTCATTTTTAAAGGTATAGTTTGGTCAAATGGTACTCTATCATCAAAAGTTTGTTTAATAATAATTTAAAAAAAAAATAGCGAAGAAAAATTTCAAAAATTCTACCTAAGGTACATAATACCTGTGTGGGTAACCTACCCGTGTATGTACAAAAATACATACATAGGAGAGCATGTATCCGCCTACATGCAATGTAGGTGCGTACATACAATATACGAATGTATTTATGTAAGTACAAAAACACTTATGCACGTAGATTTTCCCACAATGATTAAAACAATAGAACTTATTTAGACGCATAGATTTACGCATTTTGATAAAAAGTAATCAATTTCCAAATATCCCGATAACAATGTAATCAAGCCCTCTTGAAACGTAGTAACAAAAAATGTGTTAACTTTCACTTTTATTACTCTTCGTCTTGCGTACAAAAAAATTTAGGGATGACCTTTATTTAAAAATAGGAAACTGAGATAGAAGAAGTAAACAAGGAAAACTGCTTATGGCTACATTTCACTCA